AATTACCCCAATGGTACGAGGGCTTGCTGATGAAAATAAATACTCTGAAACCACAAGCTCATATTTTTACTTAAATGAATATATTAACTTAAAAAAACCCAAAAGCTCACTACAATAAGAGTCGAGCAATGTCGCCACCTGAGTCTGATATGTATATATTAGGAAGGTTTAAGTGAAGTCTTAAATGTATTAACTAGCAAGTGCCAAGGCACAAAGTGACTTCTCAGCAGTTCAACTCTGCTCCCTGCTGTGTTGCTGGAGATTACACTGAATCCAGGGCACGCTTTAGGACCAGCTTCCTCCCGTGACTTACAAAAATAATCATAAATAAAGCGTTTGAAAAAAATCCCCCATCCTCATCTCCCTAGCTTTACATCCCATTATTCTGAGTAACTGATGTGTGTGAAAACACTCCCTTTCAATTCAGCTAAACCTCTGATTCACAGGGAACAACTTTTAAATTGTTCATACGATTCTTATCAGTCAGCGGGGTTTGCGTCAAGGAAACAGAAATACGAAAACCTAATCACTCCGCCTGTGAACAATCACCGCGTCTCCCTGATTGGAGGAAGGACAGGTCCTGGGAAGCCTTTCCTCCAGATTTCCACCACTTCCTGGCTGTTTCATTTTAATCACGACCTTGTGGAGCTGATCTATGACTTCAAGTGTTTGCCGGGCAAGGCTGGGTGTTACTGATACACGTCTTAGGAAAAGCAGTTACTCCCATCACCAGAAACTGATGTTGCAAGCACGCTATTTGCACATAGGAAGATGGACTTCCTTGGCAACCTGCTCAGTCAGATGTGCAATCACAGCTGCAGGCTGGAGTCAAGGCACACGACTTTGGGAAACAAGCCATGGTATTTTTATTGGTTTGCTCTATTTTACCCTTATAAAGGAACGGTATCAGAGTTCAACTCAGAGAAATGAGGAAAACTGAAAATGAGCAGGAAGGAGACTATAAAACCGCCCAGGCTGGTCATTCAGGGAATCCTTTTATGGTTAGTGCATGTCTGTTGACTGCCTTCTACCAGGTCATTATTCTTGGGGATAATTCATCTCACAAATTGACACATCACCAACAGAAAATATGTAGCCTTCACGAGAGGCATGCTAGCTGTGCCAGCTGTGCAGAGAGGAAACACATGGGTTATACCTGCTCTTCCTTCTTTCTATGTACAGTTTGAATATTTTCCTTCCAAGCTTTACCTGATTGGATGCAGACCTTATGAGATTTATATCAGCTGGACTGTACAGGACATTTACCCATGTCTAGAGAAAACCAGATGATCCAGATGTAGCTCTTGGGTTGAAACTAACTCTTGTTATACTGGCTTATTTAACAACAAGAAAATATTTAGGGCAATGAATTTACCAAAAGAGACTAAAAAGATGTAGTCTGGCCATGTAGGTAGGCAGGTAACTAGACACACACTCACACAAACATGCACACACAATCATCTTGAGGTATAAATTATATACCACACAAAGTATCCTTTTATTGTTTGTTAATTCCTACCTGAGGATGTTTTTTCATTGACTTTTAGAAACAGTGGAAGGGAGGGAGAGTGGGAGGGGGAGAGAGAGAGAGAGAGAGAGATAAAAGAACATTGATGTGAGAGAGACACAATTGGTTGCCTTCCACACACACCCCGACACCCTGACTGGGGGCTGCGGATTGAACCTGCAACCCAGGTATGTGCCCTTGACTGGGAATCGAACCCAAGACCCTTTGGTGCACGGGACACTATAACCATTGAGCAACACGGGCCAGGGCATACAAGGTAGTCTTTTAAGTGCAGAGCGAATTTTTTTTTCCTCAGAAGACCTATAGCCTTGGACCTTCAGCCTTATAGAGCCTTATAGAGACCAAGGATATCAGGGAGAGCTCCTAGCTCATCTTCCTTCATACTTCAGCTCAGAGAAACTGAGCCACCCCACCCAGACGGTCAGTGGTAAAGTGGGGAGGTGATGCTCAGTTTGGACATGCTAATAAAAACCAGCCCATTGCCCTAGCCGGTCTGGCTCAGTAGACAGAGCCTTGGCCCATGGACTGAAGTGTCCTGTGTTCAGTTCTGGTCGATCCCCAGCCCCAGTCAGGGTACATGTGGGAGGCAACCAATTGATGTGTCTCTCTCACATAGTTGTTTCTCTCTCTGTCTCTCCCCTTCCCTTCTACTCCCTCTAAAAATCAATGGAAAAATATCCTCGGGTGAGGATTAACAACAACAATAACAACAAAAACCAGCTCATTGATTCGCTATTATGAATAGAAACTCACTCTTTTGTGGGGAGGGAGAGGAAAGACTCTATGTAGCAGCCCATGTTTAGGTACCAGGTTCCCAACCTGTTAAAAATGAACTTCCAACTGCTGGCTGCAGAGAGTTCAGGAAAGGAAGTGAAGGAGAAGTGTCTTTGGAATAGTGGTGTTAAAGAGGATCAAGGGACAGGGTCAGTGGGGGAGGTAGGAGGGGGGAAGGAGTATAAATGCTGATGGAAGGAGGCTTGACTTGGGGTGGTGAACACACAATACAATATACAGATGATATATTAAAGAACTGTACATCTGAAACCTGTATAATTGTATTAATCAATGTCACCCCAATAAATTCAATAAAAAAATGGAACAAAAAAAGGGGGGGATAAAGGGCCATGTTGAATGAGGACTGAGTTACTGAAGAGTGGGAGTCTGAGGTGTTAAAGTAATTCCAACCAATGTTAACGTCTGGGTGCTGACAAATAAAATTTATAAATGACTTTTCCAACTGCTTCCTCTAGCAACAGGAGCTGCTATTACCACATCGATTTTAAAATTAAATGTTATGGAATTTTCTTGCTTTAATGAGAAGGCAGACCTGACTGGTAAATAAAGTAATGATTAAAGCAATTAAAAGAGTGAAAATGAGAAACAAAGTAACAACCTTTAATGCTTCACCCAAATTGGCAGGTTTTGATGATTTACTTAACAGATTCATGTTTATCTGGAGGTAAACGTACTGAGAAGCAATGGTCACTATGATAAACCCTTCCTGTGGTGAGGGGGAAAGTCAGTTAGTAATGTCATCTGTTTAAAAATCTCCCTGCACCTGGTTCTCATTTGTCCTCCAGCTGAGAAACCAAAGACAACTTCTTTTTATTGCTTGTGGTCAAACAGCAAGTTCATCTTGCCATGGGATGATCAAACGGCCAGCCTCCCCCGGCTTGAGAAGGTTTGCCTTTCACTTTCAACTTGTTCAATCATCATTAACTCTGAAAAACGTCACATTCCATTTGTGCAATGAAAATTTCACCACCCGCGACCGTTTGGGTGAAGTTTTTGTAGGCGAAGCCCTAAATCTTGAAGAGCACCTCACACATTCTCAAGGTCATTTGCCTTGTTTCCTCATTTAATGACAGTCGCCTAAGATTCTGGAGTCTGTCTGTGTCCCGACAGACATCTGTGTGGATAGGTTTCCTTCTCTGGGAGTCAGTGGGTTCCCTGGGTGATACAACACGGGTGTAATATGAGAAAACGAAGTTGTGTGCATGTGTGTACATACACACACACACACACACACACACTCCTTTGTTATATAACACCCATAATACCCTGGGGTTTTTCCCAAGCAAAAGCCAAGTCTTCTTTACTGGGAGGTACTAGTAAAGCAGGCCATTGGATGCAGCCCACTGAAGCAGGGTTTTCTTACTGTGGGGAGCCAGCTTGCCCGGGGAAGCTGCCATATCAACTTGGGGAAGTTCCCAAAAGTTTCTAGAGAGGGGAAATAGGCTTCTTTTTAAATTTTGCCATTGGGCTTGAGAAATCTTCATCTCCTTTGTTTATTATTTAATTATATTCCCCCGTCTGCAGAGAAGTTCTGACATGTAAATCCCAGTGAATGTGGCAGAGGGCCAAATCCCTGATGGGCAAGCTATAAATATGAATTTCTGAGAGTGGTTGTCAAGCAGCAAGATGGCTAAATTAAGAGGTCACTTGATCCAGAGTCTTAAAAAAAAGCATAGAGTTTATTGGGGCAAGTCAAATAAATTTGTGCCATTTGGCAAGCAAGCCATCGCTAAAACAGGCCTCAGTTTCAAGGTCCTGATTAAAATTTCAAGGTCAAACCCAAGAGAACACATATGCAGAGCTCTCCAGAGCCTTGAGTGCCAAGGCGCTAACACACTGTTTTAAATAGTCCTCCAGAAGGGCTTCTTGATTTCCAGCTTTAGTTTAATGCCAAAGTTGTGCTGGGCCAGCTGTTAAAGTAAGGAGAAGGATACTAGCATGTCTGGATTATAGGCACATTGTCTTGGGTCTCTTTCATAATGTATTAGAATATTTATTGTTGCCAAGATCCAATTTTTAATTGGCTGGTAGAAATCGAGGGTAGGAGAGAGGGCAAAATTAGCCCAATGATATTTTCCAATTCCCCAGCTCATACAAGACCAGACCCTTGGTCTAAAGAAGAATCATGTGGCTCCTAAAACATAAAAGAGAATGTCCCACCATTTTAACCGTTGGCTTGATAACACCACCTTTTAAGAAAAGAGATTCTAATACTAGGTTATTAATCGAAAAACACTTGTATAAATTTCCTGGGAGAGATTGAAAAAAAAAATTCAAACACTTGTATACCCAGTATTCTACTAAGTGCTTTATAAACATTAACTCATTTAATCCTCATAGCACTTCCAAGAGGTGAAGTAACTTACATAGGTCACGGAACTATTCAAACCACTATGCAGCAATACTTTTTCATAAAGACCTTTCAGAATACACCCATTGATTGGTTGCTTCTCCTGTCTCCACCTCAGGGAGGTCAACTTTCTACTGCTGCTCCTGAATGAGCTAGTGAGTTCTCTCCGTCTGTGTCACCTACGCACGCACACACTCTCACACACACTCTCACGCAAAGCTATTTCCGTGCTTCAGTGAAGCTGCACAGGGTTTGTGATCTGGGCATAAAAGCAGACATCATTTGCTCATTAGAGCTAAGTTTTCGGGACGTGCCCCAATTACTGACCTCCACTAACGGCCTGGGTTTGCGCTCGACTGCAAACCTGAAGTGGCAGAGTTCACAGTAGCTGGTGTTTGAGGATGACAGCCAGTGCTCCAGGCAGCTCCGATGAATTGTCCCCAAGGTCCCCGTACATTCACATGGAGAGAGCAAGTCCTCTTGGCTGCTGCCCTCGTGGCAGATCCTGCACATCGGCCGGTCATTGAAGGGGCTGCAAGAGAGGAGGGGCACCTACTGGTCACTGGGCTAAAAACCACTGCCACGCGGATGGTCCTCTGGCTCTGTGTCCTTCACCCCTCCCCAGTGGCAGCTGCTCAGAAAAGACAACTGCTTTAAAACCCGAGATCTAGCCCTAGTCGATTTGGCTCAGTGGATAGAGCGTCGGCCCAAGGACTGAAGGGTTCCGGGTCCTATTCCAGTCAAGGGCACATACCTTGGTTGCAGGCTCTATCCGAGGTGTACGGAAAGCAACCAATCGATGTGTCTCTCTCACATCAATGTTTCTCCCCCTCCCTTCCATTCTCTTTAAAAAGAAATGGGTAAGGATTAACAAAACAAAACAAAACAAAACAAAACAAAACAAAACCCTAGATCTACACTTGTACTTGGCAGTGGGGCCAGTGCCATGGTCCTCCAGCATCTACTTTTGCCAATACAAAGAAATGGGGAGTGGTCCAGGACCAAAAGTGAGTAAAAACAAGCAGCATGCTATTTTTGCCTTGGGTACAGACGTAATCCAGGCAAACACCAATTAAAAAATAAAAACCATCCCTCGCCATTAAGGACAGAAATTGCTTTGAAGTGATACCAATTGTAATTTCTGGACAAACTGTTTTTAAAACCTGGCCAGGACACTTGAATACCCAGAGGTTCCTTTCATTTCTGCTTTCAATGGGTGTGAGGCTGAGAAGAGGGGAGTAAACTGGCTGCCAACCCCAAACCGCCACACAGAAGGGCGGTCTGAGCCACAGCACAAAGCTGAGTAGCAGGACTTTCGTAGGATGCTCTCTGGGATGTTAAGGACACTAAGCTGAAAGCGAGTAATGAGAGGACACCTTTTACCGAGGTGGCCTCTGTCTAGAGCTCTGCCTTTAACTTGAAAAAAATCACCCGTGCATGTTTTGTGGAGGCACCTGATATAGTGGTTCGTGTGGCAGGCTCTGGCATCTAGTGGCCTGGGCTCGAACACCAGCTTGCTACTTACCAGGTGGCCAGCTTTGGACAAGTAACATCATCTCTCTGTACTTTAGTTTCCTCATCTCTAAAATGGGTATAGAGAATGGTGCCTTCCTCATATGGTGATTGTGAGGATGAGAAAAGATAATCCAGATGAGAAGCTTAGAATTGGGACCAGCTGAGTTAATGCTGTTTTCACTCGTAGAAAAATTCAGGTCATGGAAATCAAATAACGGCCAAAAACCAGCAGCCATTGGAAGGGTCAAGCAAAGATGACCTCACTTCTCAGTGGATACGGTGTCCTGTATCCACTAAGAGGACTATCTCTTTCTGATCGACATGTTTTTATATTGCTCAAACTCTCCTTTATTGGGCATTAGATTTTAAAGTATGTCATCATTGCATGTGCCAACCTGAGGACCAACCTCTTTACCCGCTCTCCCCTGCCTCTTCCTGTCCCCCAAAGATGAGAGTGGCCACCACTCTCTGACACCATCTTTGGTCCAAATGGAAACAGTCATAGACACACTGCCATTTCCGACAGGCCTTTCCAGGGATGATCCTGGGAATGAGTGAAAGCTAAAAGGGGATTAAAAGAGAAAAGGACCTCTTTCTCACTTGCCCAAAACACTCACTCATGCTCAGGGGCAGGACAATAAAAGTTTAAAGAGTTGACTTTTTCTCCCTCTTTATCAACGGCCTCCTTCATTCACATTGAGCCACTTGCATGAGCCACTTCTCATTTACATTACTACGTGATGAGAGAACACATAAATTCCACACACACACACACACACACACATGCACATACACACACCGGGGCTCACAAGTCTCATTTTAGTGCTGTAGACTGTTGTTCCCAATCAACCGAAGTGTTTGATGCCTGCAAGGGTGACAGGTACACATCAGCTATCTGTCTCAGTTCACAGATGAGCAATGATGCTCACTGCCTCATTGTATTCTGAGTCCTAACAATTGTGTAGAAGCTTCTCAAGAGGTAGAAAAATATATATTGACTTCCTTCCCCTCCATGACTTCCCTTTGCCATAGCAGCACAAATTGAAAGTACATGGACAATGTTTATGACATGCATGGATGTGTGAGTCCATGTCTGGCGGACACCACGTCCAGGCTGAAGGCAATAGAAAATGTGGCAGTGGACCAGCGGTCGTGCTGCAGGCACATGCTCAGATCTGTGGACCTGTATCTACATTGGAGGGGTTGGCTAAATTGCTCAGACCAAGGTATGTGGTCCAGGTGTGAGTGACAGACCCACATTTCAGGGTTAGAAGAGTCAGCCCTGATATCAGGAGGCAAGTCCAGTGCGGATATACATGTTACATCCATAGGTCAAGTCCCACTTACCCATTTTGAAAGAAAGCTGGAGAAGCCAGGGTGTACTTATTGGCCAGGCAGCCTGTAGCTGTCAATCTGTCACTGGGCAGCAACAGCACAAGAAGAGACCTCCAGGGACAAAGTATTGGCCTGAATAAGCCACTTCTGGGCTGTTGAAAGCCTTTAGCTTTGCTTTGGTTCATCACTCAGGGGAGACAAGTGTGGGGATTTTAACAATAGTAAATTTCATAGGGCAGGGTGTGTATGAAGGATCATGGGGGGCCCATGAGGAGCAAAGGAGGGAGCAATAGAAGAGGTCCCCAAGGGGGATGTGCCAGAGAAGAGACATGCCCAGGAAGTGGCCCTGGTAAGTGCTCCTATCAAGCAGTGCTGATTGGCATGCACACCAGGAGTAGCACTTCAAAGGTTTTACCCACAAATCCAATTACTTTGGCTCAGTCACCTGAAATCAGTGCCTCCTTCATTCTATTCTAACATAGGGTTATCTTTGTCACTGCCTGGAGACAATGAGTGTAATTACTGTTGCAATGTCAAAATAAATGTAAAGCAAGGGACTCTGTCTTGTGGGATCCTTCCCTGCCCGGCTCTCTGCAAGTGTGTCTTTAAGCGAAATTCGTGAATTTTAGCTTATACCCTATTGCTATAGAAACAGAACTTGTGTAGTCTCCCCGCCCCCACCCTCTCCCCTACCACCTCTCACCTGACACAAAGACCTGAGCACTAATTACATTCCCCTTTTTTCCCATCTGACAAAGGGTCCTTCGGATCAATTACACGTTCATTTATTTTAATGTTAATTGTGGTACTACCTCTGGGTGGCAAGAGTCCGTACTACTGTTGACAGCAGCTGCCCGTCCTTGGCCGAAACTTGCATGACATACTGTGGCTGCCCATTCACTAGGCTGCCACAATCCTCCACAGTCTTCACCAGGGGCACAGTTGAGCTGGTGCAGTCTGGCAGCACTTCTGGCAGGTGACTGCAGCGGCTGGTTGTCATGGTAACAGACAGCAATTACTCTGCTAATGGCTTCCGCATTCATACAGGATTTCCATCTAAGAGAGATCAGAAAACAGTTTACTTGGGCAGGGTGGTTAATAGGAAATGGAGAATTACAGGCTACCAACATCATCGTGTCATTATTTAATATAAATAACAGGGGTAGCCTAGACGTGGCTCATTATCTTGTTACCATTTAATATGCACGCGCACACACACAGAAGTCACAAGAAACAGTGGAGGTAGCTCTGAACAAGACAGCGAGCATGTCAGCGTACATAAACATTAGGATCCCTGCTCTGGGAGAGAGGAGGGAATGATGGCTCCAAAGCTAGATCGGAAGAGAAGATAAGCAGCTCTCCCGCTCTGCACCAGAGAAGCAGTAAGTCTTTGTTGACACTCTCTAAAAATTACTAGAATCATTATTACTGATCGCAACTATTTTATTCTTGGAAGCAATTTATTCCCCATGCAGTTTCATTCTAAGATACTAAGATTAATAAAAAGAGAGAGAGAGAGAAAAAAATAAAAAAAAATCTGGCCAACTAACACCTTGTAGGACAATATTTGCCAAACATGAATCATTGAATTAATGTACAACCATTCTGACTTTTGCTATATCTCTGCTTATAATACAACTAGAGGCCCTGTGCATGAAAATCATGCACTGGAGGGGAGGGGGGTCACTCAGCCTGTCCTGTGCCCTCTCGCAGTCTGAGACCCCTCAGGGTATGTCCACCTGCTGGCTTAGGCCCGATCCCTGTTGGCAGTCAGACATCCCTTTCACAGTCTGGGCTCTCGCAGTCCTGGACCCCTCGCTCCTTACCACCTGCCAATAGCGGAGGTGGGAGAGGCTCCCGCTACTGCCGCTGTGCTCGCCAGCGGTGAGCTGGCCCTGTGGGAGCACACTGGCCACCAGGGGCCAGCTCCTGCGTTGAGCGTCTTGCCCCCTGGTGGTCAGTGCACATCATAGCAACTGGTCGTTCTGTTTGGTCGATTTGCATATTAGGGTTTTATTATATAGGATTATCTACTTATGTCTTGAAAATTAACCTCCCTTAAAAACTTAACCTATTTTCTTTAGTCTTAAGTAAAGTTATTAATAAAATGACTAGTTGGATGATCTTATTACATTTTTTTCCTAATAGACATTACAATAAATACACTAGTATTGAGTTTTGTTTATTTATGTACTACCTAAAATCTATGGACACTGCATTGTCATAAAGGAACACATAGGAGTATGGAAGAAACTGATAAGTGAGATCTCTACTGCCTATTAAAAATAATCCATTCTTACCCTAGCCAGTTTGGCTCAGTGGATAGAGCATTAGCCCACAGACTGAAGGGTCCTGGGTTAGATTCCGGTCAAGGGCACATACCTAAGTTAAGGTTCCCCAGCCCTGGTCAGGGTGCGTGTAGGAGGCAACCAATCAATATATCTCTCTCACATTGATGTTTCTGTCTCTCCTTCTCCCTTCCACTCTAAAAATCAATGGAAAAATATCCTCGGGTGAGGATTAACCAAAAAAACAAAAACAAAAAAAACAAAACCCACAATAATAATCCATTCTTAATGACAGCCTTAGCTCCCTGACACATAGTCTATCATGCAAACTGCTAGGAATTCCGTTTCTGATCTGTGTGGCATGGGCTTGAATTTGACCTCAAGTTCAAGGCAGTGAGGCCCACTGGAGTAAGGAACCCCACTACATACAATATTAAATCTCATGTGATGTGTAAGAAATAGAGGGCTTTCTAGTGGAATTATTTATGTCTAAGGGTGAGATGACATAGTTTCCCAGTCCATACAGGCCATTTCTGCTCAGCCTGTTCCCCTCAAGTTTCTGAGCCCGACACGACCTAGATAGAGGCAGGGTTGGTTGGCAGATGGAGTTCATGGTCAATAACCAGTCTGAATGGTCAAGGCCCCAAGTCTAAATGAATCTTCCCCCCGAACCCTAAGAGAATTTTTGAAATTCTTGAAAAGGTTGTTTGCTCCCAGATATATGTCTCTACTTATTACACTTTACTTGACTCCTATAAGTCTGGAAAACAGGATCTTCCCAATTTCTAAAAAAATGTGCACCAACTGGACATTCTTAGGATGAGAATGTAGTGTTTCCAGATGAACTGAGCTGACACTGTCCCTCCCAACAAGCACGTGTCAAGCAGGCCTGACCACCAAAGACAACGGATGGGAATGGAATCCTTTCCTTGTTGCGGAGGTGTCTGGCTCAGCACGCGCCCTTTCCTGTGCTCCTTGGCTGCCACGAGTCCTCTCAGGGTCTGCGGTCTGGCCTCTCCAGGAGCCTTTTGGAACCTCAACAGGGCTGTGAACACCAACTCTATTCCGAGTCCTGAGATGGGGGAAGAGGCAGGGCTGCCATTGTCATGACTCTGGTGGGCTTCTCAACCACCAGGTACTTACTGAGCATTCAAGGAACATACCTAAACAATCAGCTAGTATAGTTTTGCTTTTTAAATAGGAGTTGTTGTTGTTGTTGTTGTTTTTTTAGCATCAGAAAACCAGGAAGTATATGCTATGGAAAGTACAGAAAAGCACAAAGAAAACAATAAAACTAACTCATAACCTCACCACTCAGATAATCACAGTACACTTTTTGGGTGGCTGTCTTTTTAATTTTTGGCAGAATTGGCAGGGTGGAGTGGATGTGCAGCTGGGGCCAGATAATGTGGTTTTTATTTTATTTTAACTGAGTTATGGTAGCTCTCAGGCCACAGAAAAAAAGGATGTTCAAAGACCGTCTTCTAAAACTATGTCTAATCCTACTCCCTTGACTTGCCCTTATAAAACCCCATTGACATGATTTTAAATTCTCATGATGCCTCACAGTCACAGAGTGTAACTTCCTGGCACAGCTCTCTTGCTTCACAAGGCAGCCATAGATTAAGAGCCAGGGGTGTCTTGGCAGGAAAAGCAGACACAGTGACCTTCTTGCCGCATGGAATCATTATGTCTGGGTGCACTTTGAGCGTCTATTTTGGGGTTTTGCATAATTCCAACTCAGAGAGCCAAACGCGTCCTCCCTACACTGGATGGAATCGGAAGAAGGCGGAGGAGGGATGCACAGAGTGAGACCATGAGACCAGGGCTGTCAGTGCTTAGGTCTCTCAGGCGCATAATGCCTCCAAGTTCATTTACTTATAACCTAGACTAAGTCCTCATCAAAGGAAGTAGTTCTAAATGCATAACCTCATTTTGCAATGAAATACCCTTAAAACAATTCTAGAAAGCAGCGTTTCCTTTAATCTTATTTTATATCTGTAATTTGACTTCTGGACGATGTACTTCAGTTCACTTCTCTTCTCAAAGGCATCAGGGCTATTATCAGCCATCTATCTCATCAGTTTATTCCATTCACAGTGGGCGCCAGGCACTGAGTTGGGCAAAAAGGAACACAAGGCTCCTCTACTTTGCCTTCTCCTGCAAGCAAGCCCTGACTCTTTCCTTGTGCATCTCTGCAGAACCCTGAGCCCAACTTAGGACCTGGCTGAAGTGAGACTCCAGTCCAGCATGCACTGAAGGGCACACCAGCACATCCATTGACCAGTATAACCTTGAGATTCTAAGACTGGCATATTGAATCTCCACACTTCTAAAAAAGCTGTCTTTTCTCTCTCTTTTTTGCTCAATCCCTCTACCCCCACCTCCTCCACAAAAACAAAACAAAACACCCTGTTTCTTGAGTTGAAAATGGAGTGGAAGGAATCACACAGAGCATGGGCACCTTTGATCATGGTCAGGAGGGCTGAATTGGTGCCAGCCCCAAAGGAGTGAATCTAATCATTGGCTCAGGTGGAGGAGCATAGAAGGGAACATGTTCTCCCCAATCTCCATCAAAAGGAAGCCCAGAGGCCTCGATCCAGACGTGGGCAGGAGTGGGCCCTGCAGGCTGCGTGTACCAACTGGCATGACTATTGCACCTGGGGCAGTGACAAATGGCCCCTGCATTCCCCTGTCTCATTCAGAGCCACCTGGGAAAACAGCAGGCTATTGCCTGGATGCGAAAAAGAGCTGAGCTGTGGGTTTGTAGCCCAGCGCCTGGTCTCTCACGGATCTTTGTGCAAAATTTCAAGCACCATTTGACCACTTTCTTATCACTACTGCTGCTCTTGTGAGAAAATGTCTTTCTTGTCTACCCAAGAATTCTGCTCTATGGGATTTCTTAGGACAAAAACATGCTGGGAGGGAGTGGTGTCTGTATAAACTTGAAACTTCCAATTGCACTGGTAGGATGGGACCTTTGTTGGTCAGACTATACACCTTGATAATTTCTTACTCAGGCTGAGAATAAAACATAATTTGGCCTGGCCAAATTCAGCAGCACACAGTGGAAAAAGGTAGATGAGAGGGAAACAATAAAAAAGGAGGGAGGGCTAAATAAATGAAAGCCTGGTTAGACAATTGTTCCCCCCCGCCCCAAAGACAATTCTTTGCTCTGTATTTTTGTGTGTGTGTCAATTGTTAAGACAAAAAGGGCTGCCTGTTAAACTTGACCCCTTTAAAGGACAGAGTGCAGGTTTTACAAAAGCAAGAACCCAACCAAGCTGCAGATAATCGCTGCTGCATTTCTGAACAGGCTGCCATTGTAAGTGATTTCCATGGGAACATGACTGGCGTTACGAGGATGTGTCCAGAGGTCAAGGGGGAAGGGAAGGGAAGGGAAGGGAAGGGCAGCCCTCTTGTCTCAGCAGCCCCTGGACCCTCCATAAGGATCACAGAGTTATGGGAAAAAGTGCTGTTCTTTTTTTGTTGTTGTTAATCCTCACTAGAGGATATCTTTTTCATTGATTTTTTTTTTTTTAGGGGGAATGGAAGAGAGAGAAAGACAGAGAGAAACATTGATGTGAGAGAAACACATCGATTGATTGCCTCCTGCACACACCCCAACCAGAGCCTGGGCCGGGGAGGAGCCTGCAACCAAGGTATGTGCTCTTAATCGGAATCGAACCCGGGACCCTTCGATCTGCAGGCTGTCGCTCTATCCACTGAGCCAAACCGGCTAGGGCTGGTTTTTTTTTTTTTAATTTT